AAAACCTAAAATTATAAATCAAAATGAGGGTTTTAGCCTGTCACTCTAAAGTCTTCTAATTCTACACCCTTCAAAGTTTATTTCTCTATTTATTTGCACTTAATCATACGTTCATCCTTACAATCTCATGTGATTCTTACCATTAGTTAACTGAGACAATCCCATCATGGATCTTACATGTTCTCACAACAGATATTAACATCTTAATTGGCCAAATCAAGAACTAAAGAAAGTACAAGATTTAAAATCATCACAACTTATTCCAACATTAAAGATTAATACTTCACACAACTTCCATCTAATACTTAATCATTTATCATTTTAAGGAAAAAGATAAATAAAACTACTCAAAATTCATGAAGAAAACACAACCACACTTAAGTTTGAAAATAGATATTATGCAAAAAAAGAAGTCTAAATTAAAACAAAATGTAGTCACAAAATCCTCTCCACCAGACTCTTGAAGTTCCTTTGAACCTCTTCTCTTCCTTTCTCTTACAATACTTTGTACTCACACACTACCTCTTACAATACTCTCTACTCGGTAACAAGTATAAGAAATAAAAATAAAATATTTTTTTTCATTATCATGAATCAATAACAAGTATAGAAATTTTATTGTGAAAGTATTCAAATTGTGTTGTGTCAAATAGAAACAATAATATTCTTTACTCTTACTAGAGATGTTATAAGAACATTGACTAATTTAAAGTTTGAATAGTGTTGAAGACGGGTTAGGTAGAGAAGATACTAGCTCTCACTCTAGAGTTCTCTCTTCTTCCTCCACCTGGGGGCTAATATCTTGTATCAAAATCTAAAAAATTTTAAATTAAAACCAAATGTAGTCACAAAGATAAAAACTTATCTTAAATCCTCTCCACCAAACTCTTGAAGTTCCTTTGAATCTCTTCTCTTCTTTCTCTTACAATATTATCTACTCACGCACTACAACTCAAAATAAAAATAAAAGGGGTGGCGTGTGTTGGAGGAAGGCTGGAAGAAATCGTAGGAGGGTGTGGAAGGGCTCCCGAAAAGAACTCTCGAAAAGAAGAAAAAAGAGATAGTTCTTCAATCCAAGTTTTCTTTTATAATTTTCCAAAAGGTGTCTTGGTGTCTATTCAAAATATGTGCACATTCAATGAATCTTCCAAATGTTATCTCCTTTCAAAAGTCAATTGAATGTATTTTCATATCCATTAACTATTTCCCACATTTTCACCAAGAGTTGTTTCAAACACCTCTTCAAAAATTCGTCTAAATTCATTAAATCATCAAGTAATTACTTCTGACGCTTAAGCGCGATGTACTTGGAGCTTAGGCGCGGTCTTCTCATTTTACTGACACGTAAGCGTCAGTTCTTGGTGCTTAGGCGCAACAGTTCTTTTGCACACCTTCATTTTTGCTCCAAATTCGATCTTTTTTCATTTTTTTTACCATTTTTCATCTATTTGATTGTACATAAAAGAAAAACACACAAACACCTTACATTAAAGCGCAATATCTCAAAAATAGGTATACAAATGTGTATATAAAAACTATATATTTTAGGTGCATCATCCCCCTATGTAGGTATACCTTAGGTGAGTGGGTAAGGCCTTTAAGTCAAAATCCGAGGCTATCTCCATGGAAGGTGCTAGGGGTTTGGTGTGCAAAATCAAGTCAAAGGGTTCAAACCTCTCCCAAAACCTCCTAAAGTCTCCCTCTACAAGTAGAGCAAATTCAATAGTAGATTTCTAAGTTTCATTCTCAAACACCTAGTGCTCTACTGGTTCATCTTCCAAAGTTTCAAAAAATTGGCTAGTCACCACTCCATCCACTAAGTCAACCCTAAAACAATGATTGTCACATGAAAGTTGGAGAAATTTCATAGAATTCGTGATATCTAAAGGTGTCTTTTCATCATTCACTCTCATGGTCCATTTTCCTTATCGCTAACTCTCAAGTCTTGAATATGAAACAAATGTCTTGTACTGCACTTACAGTGAAATTATCCAATTTCTTGGATATGGCAACAATCTGGTTAGTGAAGATATTCAAGACATCTGTTTCATGCACACTAGCTACTTTTTTGAGTTGCACCATCTCAGCATGCCAATGAAAGTTGTTGATGGATGGTCATCTCCTCAATCAAGTCATATGCCTCATGCAGTTTGGACATCAGTGATCCTCCTACAGCAGCATCTATAAGAGACCTAAGGGAACCTAAAAGTCCGTTATAGAAGGTTTGGACAGAGCGAGCTGGGTAAGGCATGAAGAAGACACCTCCTAAGCAACTCCTTACGAGTCCGTTTGGGGCAGTTTATTCGGTGCGGTAGCATTTTGAAAACGCACCTGGACTGTTTGGGTAAAATGCGTTTTGGCTGCTTATGCATTTTGAAAAGGCTGAAAGCAGCGTTTTCACACCGCACCTGTCTAGGTGCGGTGCAGCTTTCTAGCAGCAGTCTAGCTTTTCAAAAAACATACAAATTTCTAATAGCCACCGCACCTAACTTATCAGCAGATTATTCAATGAACTGTAGCTGCCCCAAACAAACCATAAATCTCTCACAGGCCTCATAAATGGTTTCTACCTTAAATAATGAGAATGATGTGATGTCATTCCTAAGTTTAACAGTCTTGAAAGAAGAAAAATACTTGGCTGAGAACTTCTGTGTTAAATCAGTTCAAGTGGTGATGAATCCTGCTAAAGTGTTTAGCCACACTTTAGCTCTATTATCCTTAAGGGAAAAACAAAAAAGTCTCAGCCATTCAGTGTCACTGAGGACACCATTATACTTAAATGTGGCACACAATTTTAAAAAGTTTGCTAAGTGCAGATTTGAGTCTTAAGTGATCTTGTCCTAGTTCTCCATTACAATTGACTGACACAAAGGCTTCTGTTAGTTAAGGTTGACTTAAATTCATCTTCTTAGACAAACATCTACCCCAGATCTATAAGGTTACCTTAGAGGACACAACACATGGTTGTTTACAAGGATGTTTTAGTCAGGTTGAGTCGACTACCTTCTCTAACTAGGTACACAGGATGACAGAATCATGAGATCTTGATCATTTCTCTGACCATCCGCTTTAAGCTTTAAGTGATAAATTTTACAATTTAAACCATATAGTTCTTGCTATTATGTGTAAAATACTCGGTATTGAATGATTAACTTTAATTCAAACTGCTCATTTGTTATCAGGAGGGGTACCTAACCATAGGGATTGTGCCTATGAGAAACCTCAAACTTTATATCAAAAAGTCCTCGCAAAAATGAAGGTGAATAGTGAAATCTTTAGTTAGTATCTTAGCTACAATCAAATTGCCTTCTGAAAATTTGACACGATAAAGCTCTAACTCAACAACACCAAGGAGAGTCAGGGGCATCAAAATTTTTGAACTCCGCAGTACTTAGTAACAAAAGAGTAGTCATCAAGAATGATAACAAAATGGAAGGCATGCTTTAAATAACATGTTCTATCTAGATACATCAAACATTATTGCATTCTATTTTGAAAGATGAAGAATTGATCCATTTAGATTCATTCAAATTCACATACAACAACAACAATAAAAACAAGCTTTATCCACTAAGTGGAGTCGGTTACATTAATCTTTTTTTTTAAATCATTCCCGTTGTCATATTTTTATTTAATTCTAATAAATTAAGACCATTTTTTGTACAATATGCTCAAGTCTATCTAGACTTTTCTTAACATAAGTCAAACCTAAAACATCTACTCTTCTAATCGGATCATCGGATGGTTAACTTTAAATGTGACCAAACCATCTAAGACGATTCTCTCTAATTTTGTCCGTCATTAGAGCCACACTAACCCTATCATGGATATATTCATTTTGTATTTTGTCTCTAAGTGTAAAGCCACTCATTCACCTAAGCATTCTCATCTCGACAACACTTATCTTAATTTTATGCTTCTCTTTTAAAGGCCAACATTCTGCGCTATAGAGCATTGCAAGTCTCACCACCCTCTCATAAAACATTCCTTTCAGTCTAAGTCTAATTGGTACTCTTCTATCACACAAAAGGCTCGAAGCATTCCTCCACTTCAACCAACCAACATGAATCCTACTAATAGCATCCCCATCTATAACACCATCAAGTTCTAAAGCGTTCAGACCTTTTAATGATTTGATCATTTATAGTTACAACTCTATCACTAGAGCTACTACTGCTAAAATTACATTCCATGTATTCAGTTTTAATTCTACTCACATGAAGATCTTTAAACTCCAATGTAAACCTCCATAATTCAAGTTTTTCCTGAGCTCTTTCTTTTGTCTTATCCACAAGAACGATATCAACAGTGAAAAGCATACACAATTCAGATTCAAATAAGGATTTTTAAAAAAAATCTATAGTATATGTTTTTCTTTTTCTCTGCTTTTATTAACTGATTATACACAATCTATCAGCCATCCATTAGTTTGTGACATGATGAAATAAACGTTCGCTTGGTTGTCCAATATGAAATTACTTTTTCCTAATTGCTCTCAAATACATCGTCCAGCACTCTGCATACATCAGCATACTAGTTTGAGTACAAAATTTTGAAAGTTGTGCATCCATCATATTTATTAACGGTCCACGCAATGGCTTCGGGAGTACACTGATGTGACAAAACAGTTCTATTTCACCAAAAAATCAATCTAAATGTCATGCATTACAATTTCAATCAATCGAGAGGATCCATCAGTATGCTAAATGAGCATTATAATCACGTTGGAGATAAAAACAAACAAAAAAAAAGAAACACTTCGTACTCATTGCACTGCATAAAATCTGAATGTAATTTTTGCTCGTTACAAAGAAGAAGATATGATAAATTAGTAAAAAGAAGATGGATTTAAGTTCTCGCCTAGTGGTCAGTAGTGTATAGTTGGAGAGAAAAAAATGTTTCAATGGTTTAGCAAAACTGCAAAGGTTAAAGAAAGGAAACAAACGATACCAATAAACTAAAAGAAGATTGATTGCTCAAAAGATAGATCAAATAACTACCTGGTCATACTCATCCAAAAAAGTTGTTAGCTCATCCAATAGTAGAACTTTGCATGCTTCAGCTAGAGCACCTGCAATAGCAACCCTCTGCTTTTGACCGCCACTGAGAGTCTGAATTGGTCTCTGTAAACAGAAGGAAAAACAAAACCAAAAAAGAATTAAAACCAAAAAAGAATTAATGCTTATTTTCCCCAAAAAAAAAAAATTATTTTGTTTCGGAAGCGTACTTGTGAGTACTTTAACATGCCAACAGCATCCAATGCGAATGTCACTCTTGATTTAACTTCATCTGGCGTCAAACAAAATTTGCCAAGACAAAATGCAACATCTGCTTCCACTGTGGGCATTACAACCTACAAAAACGTAAAGAGATTTAATTTCCTTTTTCTAGACAAAGTTGCAAACAGGCAATGATACCATACATCCTATCATCATAATCAACAACATTTGCCTTATCACAACTATTTGGGGTCTGCTTTATGAGTTACTATTTTCCATTTGTACCATTTGGGGATCATTTGAGGTAAAAAACCTATTATTTGAAGTTCATTTTGAAAAACTATTATCCATGATATCATATTTACCATCTTCACTCATAAACCTTTGTCGTTAATTTTATCTACTTATCTGGTGAGTGTATTATGTATTCATTTTACTTATACAATCATCCTTTAATTTATCATTAATAATTTTATTAAACAATCATCTTAGTATTATTCTTTTTATCGCACTCAACTTAACTAACAATGAATTTTTACTACCTAACTAATAACAACATACTAATTGTAGTTTTATAAAACTCTCCATAATATCTTTTCAAGTAATACATTTTCATTAACTTATTTCTTTTAATCACTCAACCTGAACTCTAGATGTTACATTCTCACTTAGATCCACATTTTTATATATAAGAAATCAATGTTACCTAATCCTATCATATTTAAGTAAAACTTTATCTTCTAATAATTTTAATTGTTATTTGTTAATATCACACCTACTAATATGGAATATCATATACTCAAATTTTATTCTACTATCTCTAAACTCTCTCTGTTCTAAACATTTTCTTAAACTTCTCACTTTTTTTAAAAGATATCTAACAAATTAGACCATATCTTTAAGTATGCAACAAGGCATCTCACTTTTAGAATATGTTCTAAGCATCTCCACTATAAATAAGAAAAAGATATATACTCAATGTTGAGACGTGATGTAATCCTATTATAATTAAAAATTTATTTACGACTTTGCATCTACTTCTAGCACTAGTTTGTACTCCATCATCCATAATTTTAATTAACTTTAACGGACTTTTCACATAGGTATTCATTTATTTCTTAATGCACACCAAATCATTTAGCATGGAACTCAACCATATGACTTATTGAAATCAATAAAATTCATACGAAAATTCATTCTCTGGTCACTAACTTTTCATTGATTTTCTTAAGACAAGAAATTGCTATCATACTAGATTTTTTTAACATGAAAACGACATGATTTGCAAGGCACATCCTTATAGCTTCAGTGTATGAATCTTAAGGTCCATTTCTATAAAAAAAATATTTCTTCTCTAAATCATTTAGTATAATCATAGCCTTCAAAGTCTATTAAAAGGATTTGTTAATCGAATCATTTCAATATCATCTATAGCACTTAAAAATCATATTATATATCACATATGAACCTAAATTCTTACCTTTATACATCTACTTCAAAGAGAGGCATCACTTCAACATTTTTATCAATCTATAGCATCTCTTATTATTTTATCCGTTATGCTATTTCAAAATAATTTATTTTTATAAAACACCCATGTAATAATATCTAAAAACATTACTTCATTTTTTTACATATGCCTTCATTCAACGTATACAACTGAGGTATTATCATCTACGTTTCCTGTTCATCTAACATAATTCAAGTCTTTAAATCTATTATCACTAAACATACAATGCACAAATGGAACCCTTGCTTCATAATTGCTAACATATTATCAGAAACAATAGTTTCTAAATACATTCAATGCAAGAATGAATAGTAATATTAGATGAACCTCCAACAAGAATCATGCTAAGAACATAGGAGAAGAAACATGGCCTGGCTTCCTAAAATAATATAAATCTATCTAAATTGACAAGCTCAGTAAAATAATTTAGCATGCATGAGGAAAAGCACCATCATTTTCAGCATAGAAGTCAAGTCATTTTTGAAACACCAAACAATAAGGAAATTTTTATGTTTAGTTCAAGGGGATGATTATTTAGTATGGAAACCTATTTTTTTAAGTAAAAGATAAAAATTAAAGTTGCTTGATGGGTAAAATAGAATATCGATAAAATATATAAGGCATTGAGTTTAAGCCCACATTAGGTACTTGAAAAATATATGTAGAAATAATAACTAATAGTCCTTGCTTATAGTATTAACCTTTAAAGATGTAAATGAATTCGGCCATTATATATTCATATTCACTAAAGTCAAATTAATCAAATCATCATGAAAGTGAACTAGCATGAAAAGCCTACAACATGGAACACGTGAAGCCTCAAGTCGCTCAAAACCTTTATGTCCCTAAAAACTGAATCTCACCAAGTCACCCAATAATTAGTTCTAACTGGTCCCCCAATATTGAGCTAGTAACTCAATAGAGATACTCATAAAGCAATTTATCTAAAAGAAGCAATAACTCTCATGGATTACTCGACATTATAAGTTCTCACTAGAAAAACTTATTATAGGTACTCTCCCTCAATCCAAAACTCACCCGAGATTCTCAACTACCAATTGACTACAATCCTAATATTGCCACACAACCGGGGAGTCTACAAAAGTCAAGGTGGAAATAAACAGTTGAACAATAGCAGCATACCATACTAAAAATTTAAAAATATTTCACAAGAATATTCAACTATAAAAGAGTTACTAATCCATAAAACATATTAAAAATTATTTATCAAAATACATAAGATCATCCGGATTGAAAAATTGAAATAGTATTAAAAACAAAAAAGACTAGACATGCAAATCAAACAGTATTATATTTTTTCAAAAGTTATTCTCTTTCTATAAACAAACTTTCTCCCATTAGTCATATAAATATAACAGATTTTTTCTTTAAAAAAATATTATAATAATGAAATAAGTTTAGCCAAAATTTAGCGAATAATTACAATCTTATTATGTATTAAACTCTCATACAAGTAATAGAAAATGTATGCAATTAAAATAATAAAACATTTAAATATTCAATTTATTAAAGTTCTTAAATATTGCAATTCCTTAATTAGAAATTTTCATAATATTTTAAATACATTTTTTTCAAGAAGCTATCTTAGGAGCATTGTCTAAACTTTATACCAATTAAAATACAACATTTTATTTTTATTTTTATGTTTGCGTAGGGGTACCTCCCAACTAGTTATATAAAAGGGTGCTCTTGATTTATTTAAATTTTTATTTTCATTCGTTATCTTTCATTTATTTGATTATATCTTAATCCTTTCTGTGTGAATGAAATTCATAAACAATGAAGCAGAACATGTTATATTATATGTGATTAATTTGAATTTAAAAAATTAATAAGATTATCATTACTTGCAAGGAATTTTAAATAATTCAATTATGATTCCCATAAAACTGAAACATACATTTATACATATAAAAATTATTACTTGTACAAAAAAATTGTAATTGCTCAAGTGAATCTTTTGATAATTCTTGTCGCTCCTAACATTTGTAATATACTTTAATTAAAATGGTATCAATCTAGTTATTATAATTAATTTAGAAGAATCATTACTAAAATACATAGAAATATAATAACTTATCTCGGTTTCACAAAACTTACTTGCTTAATCTACTTCTTTGACATAACACCTAACATAGTATGTGTATGACACACACACACATATATATATGTATACACATGAATATATGTATATGTATAGACATATATATGTATACATACATATATATATATATATATATGTATACACACAAAATACACAATATATACACACACACATATATATATATATATATATATATATATGCTTTAATTAAAATGGTATCAATCTAGTTATTATAATTAATTTAGAAGAATCATTACTAAAATACATAGAAATATAATAACTTAACTCGGTTTCACAAAACTTACTTGCTTAAATCTACTTCTTTGACATAACACCTAACATAGTATGTGTATGACACACACACACATATATATATGTATACACATGAATATATGTATATGTATAGACATATATATGTATACATACATATATATATATATATATATGTATACACACAATATATACACACACACAT